ATCATAAAATAAAATGTTAAGGTTACCACTGCATCTTTCTGAAAAAAAAATGCAGTGATAAATATATAGTTTATTTATAGTTATTTTCAAATCTTCAATGTACTGCCATTATCGGTCAAAATGAGTTGAAAATTATCGGCATATCGGCAAAAATCCAATATCGTGGATCCCTAATTAAGACTTAAGCAGAATATTCAAAAAGTTGAAAGTTATGCAGAGTTTAATTACTACTGGACTGTTGAAACACTAAAATAAATGTTTGTTGCGTGTATTAGCTGCATGCAGAATCTCCAGTGTAGTGCGATTCATAATGACTCTTTTGAGCAGGTTCCTCAATTGATCAAAAATGATTCACAAAATGAATCGTTTTGCTTTACTGAATGGCAGATTATCTCAAATTTCACGTATGTCGCACTCAAACTGCAGCGATTACTTATCATGTTCATGTGTACTTAACCCTTTAAGAACCAAACTTTAGGAAATGAGACTTATATCAGTATCATTTTAATACATAACTTTTATTAATATTATTAATTTATTATTTTTATGCAATAAAATTACAGTTTATTTATTTATTTATTGTGGTTAAACAGTAACAATAAATACTAGTTAACCATTTAGGCACCGTTTTAATTTACTGATGTATAAAACATGAGTTTTAAGACAAATCTGGATGCCCTTGTGAACAAGAAGTGCACTTAATTGTATTGAATGTGCACTTTTAGGCTACTTCAAATCTTAAAAGAAAATTTTTAGAAACTGTACTTACAAATAATATAATATTAATGAAATAAAAGGCCACTTAAGTGACTAAAATAGACACTTTCATGGCTGTTTCGGAACACACTTAAGTACACTTTTAAAAAGTGACCTTTGTAATAATGTCAAATTAAAAGTTTTACTTTGAAGTACATTTTGAATCATGTTAATATTTAAATATTTAATCATATTAAAATATGTTTTAAAACCCCATAACTGTCACCCCCCCATTTTTGAACATAGACATGAAAGTGCACTATCCAAACTTAAAATTGTTATAATTCATAAAACGCTTTTGAATACAGACCTAAGGTTGGTCTGTTTTTAAAGAAGACAATCAGCAGATTATTGAAGTGAAATAATAAAAAAAAAATACAAGTATAAAAAAGTTATACAAGTTTAAATTTACTGTAAAGAAAATGTACTGCACTAATTTTTTTATTACTTTATATAAATTAATTATTTATATATTATTTCACAAAATAGTTTTTAATCCAAAATTGCTATAAAATTAAGCCACATGTTTAAATAAGTTGTGTTCCAAATTTGAAGTTGATAAAAAAAAATGTGAGGTTCCTGTGCAATTTTGTTTAGGCGTTATACCAAAAACAGACACCGGGTGCCATCCAAACTCCACTGAAATTTTTTTTAATGCATTTTTTCTGTCAAATGTACACATTTCTCTCTCAATATTACATCTATCACAAAATAGATGAAATATTGAGACTCAGACTGTTTCTGAACACACTTAAGTACACTTTTAAAAAGTGACATTTGTAATGATGTCAAGTTACGTTTTACTTTAAAGTACATTTTAAATCATGTTAACATTTTAATATTTAATCACATTAAAATATGTTTTAATAATCATTTGCCGTGTTTTAAAGTAGTACACTTATTTTTATGTGTTACTAACAAACTAAAGCACATGTAAAGTAATTGATTATCATTATAACTGTAATGTGTTATTTAATAATACATGTAAAGTTAATATATTTTAAATATTCTAAATTGCAACTTCATTATTGCAAATGTGTAATTACAAATATATTTAAATACACGACATCCAAGTTTCAATAGAAATGTCATTAAAATACATGCTTGTCAGTACATTCAGCCATATTTCAATAAAATTTAATTATGAAATTACATATAAAATGTACTCAAGTGGCTCAAAAAGCACTCTAATGATCAGCTAATTGCATTTGATATAATGCATTTAATTGATGCAATTAAATGTCTGAAAGCATTTACTTGAAGAAACTTAAGTATATTCTTCTAAAGTGTATAACTTCAATAAAAAGTGCTAGTTTTAAATAGTATGCTAAAGTGTACTTCTGTTCATAAACATGCAGCAAATGAACATCCTTGAAACATGTGTGAAATAAAAGGAATTGAGAATTTAACAACACTCTGCTTTATTAACAGAGAAGCGGTTCAGGTGAAACAGGAAGTACCTGGAAAGATCGTTGAGCAAACTGAGCACATCCTGCAGGGCGTCGTTTCCCGCCGCTTGGTTCCCGCAGCAGTCTGTTGCGCGAGCCAGGTGATTGGTTAGCAGGCTAGACACCTGTCGTGCCAGCCCAGAATGCACTGCGTCTGTGGAGCCGCCTATTTCACAACAGTGAGCGTCAGTTAACATTGAACAGGATTGCTGTGATACTTCTGGAACAGCAAGCGTTGCTCACCTTCAACTTTTTCCCACTCGATGCAGCGGTTGGCGAGCACCTGGAAAGCAGCCCAGGCCATCGTAGCTACTTTCTGTTTTTTGGTTTGTTTCTCACTGGAGCTGCTGTCTCTCTGACTGCTGAGACTGCACAGTCTGTCCATCAGCTGAACCAGACCGCTGCGCACCAGACACTGCTCCTCACTCCTGACCACAACAACATAGAGCGCTATACTATCAAAATCTTATGCTCTGGCTAGTGTTTACATATTTTCTGTTGTACAGTGTTGTTATTGTTAGCTTTAACTAGTAAAGGCTAAATAAAATCTACATATGCATTGAAAAATTTAAATGAGAATTAGAAATGTTGCCTTGGAAACTTACTAAAATAAAATCAATTTTAGATGAATGTACTAAAATGACTAAAACTGTAATAAAAATAAATGTGCTAAATAAAAATATTGAGGAAAAACACACAAAAAAATACAAAACTACATAAAACTACTAAAACAAAATTAAATTAAACTGAAAATATAAAATAATAACTATTTACTGTTATTCAGCATCAAAATTACAACATTTTTCATCATCTAAAACTGAAATAAAAATAAATGAGCTAAACATAAATTGCCATAAAATGGCAAAAGCACATTACAAAATCACTCAAATTTAAACTAAGATTAAAATTAAAACTTAAAAAGCTAATTTAAAATCTTAATAAATACTATAATAGTAAATAAATAATACTAACTGCTAATAACACTCATACTGTAACAGTACACTGGGATTTTAAAATCAATATTTTTCAACATCATAATGACAACATTATTCATCACCTAAAACTCAAATAAAATTAGAGAAAAAAAAAAGAAAAGACAAAAACATAAAAAACTGAAAATATTATAATAAAAGTTCATTTAAAATGTTAATCAATACTCCCAGAGCATGCAAAAAATAATACTAAAATAACACTGCTACTATAATAGCAAGTTGGGATTTTAAATTCAATATTATTCATCATCTTAAATTGAAATAAAAAAATAAGCTAAATAGAAATAAGGGAAAAAATGAATGACAAGCACAGAAAATTACAAAAAAAAAGAAAACTGAAAATATAAAAATAAAAGCTAATTTAAAATGTAAATAAAACTATAATTGTATATAAACAATACTAAAATAACTGTAATTGAAAGCTGGAATTTTAAATCTAAGACTATTCAAAATATTTTAAATATATATAAATACACTTTCCAAGTGTTACTGTACTACTAATCAGTGCACATTATTTCTAAGAAGAAATAATTTCCTGTTCTGTTGACGTCACCGAGGTCATGTTACATAATTCCATATTTGATTTGATGCAATAAGAGCTGAATCAGAGTGCTTGCCTGGTGTAGGGGATGGTGCACAGCAGGCCGATGCTGTTGGCGCAGGCGATTGGGTAACGGGCGCAGAGAGACACCACTGACGTCATGGTCTCTCCAAAGGCCTCCTGGACCTGCTCCATCATGCCACCGCAGGTCAGTTCCTCCACTCTACACACACACACACACACACACATATACATACACACACACACACACACACACACACACACAGTCATATGGACAACTGAAGCTTCACAGCAGAGATGCAACACTCTGCAGACTGATCTACCAATTTTAAACCAAAAATAAAAAGTTTGGGATTGGTAAGAAGTCTCTTCTGCTCACCAGGGCTGCATTTATTTGATTAAAAATGCAGTTAAAACAGTAAAATTGTGAAATATTATTACAATTAAAAATAACTGTTTTCTATTGTAATATATTGTAAAATGTAATTTATTTTTGTGATGCACATCTGAATTTTCAGCATCATTACTCCAGTCTTCAGTGTCACATGGTCTTCAGAAATCATTATAATATGCTGATTTGCTGCTCGAGTAGATATGTAATATCTTAACATTTTTGGGGATTTTTCCGATAATGATAATTAAACAATATTTGGTAACACTTTATTTTAAGTACTATTACTATTAAGTACTTACTATTATAATAACAATTAATTATGCATAATTACATGCAAGTAACCATAAGCCAAACCCTAACCATATAGTAAGTACATGTAGTTAATTAATATTACTCAGTACTTAAATGTATAATTACACTGTAACAAGGACACCTTAAAATAATGTGTAACCCAATATTTTGCTGTGTGTTTTTGTGTTTGGCTGGTTTAGGCCTGTCACGGATAAATAAATATGACACTAAAATGGCATGTAGGTGGCAGAAAGTCCCTGTCTTAATGAGTGATTCACTGAATCATTCATTCAAACGATTCGTTCAAAACAGTTGATTCATTTAGAAATGAAGCAAGTGACTGTCTTTATGAATGGATCATTGAATCATTGATGCAAATGATTCATTCAAAAACAGATTCATTCAGGCACGAAACACTGCAGTGTTGCTCTGTGATGCACAAATGTTCTGCTCCGGCTTTGTTTGGGACTTTTTCTGTTGCCGAAACAGAAAAAAACGGACCATTTTGTGTCTAAAATGTAACTGACTCAATATTAACTTCTTGTTTGTTGAACTGTTGTATAAAATAAACACCACATTTGCGATCAAGCTCACGTGCTGATATTCGGGAAAACAGCACTCTTGCTTGTGTGATAGTACTCAACTATATCACATCGTATACATATAAAAAACAAAAACCCATACAGGGATATTTTTTTGCATTCATAGCTTTAATGATAGGTGCATTCTGATAGCCCTCATCACGCAATGAATGCTTTTGCACTCTCAAGACATGTTTTTGTTTGTTTTTTGCACAGTGACTGATAATATCAGCTTGCATATCATTAAAACAACAATTATGATATTATCATAGATGATATATTTAGGCACACCCCTATGCTCATGAAAAAACTTCTGATTAATTTCAATGTTGAGAACAGTTGTGCAGCTTCATATTTTTGTGGAAACCGTGATGCATTTTATTTTTCGGGATTCTTTGATGAACAGAAAGTTCACTGAACAGTAGGGCTGGGACAATAAATCGATGCATCGCGATTCGTGGATCGATTCTGAAAGGATTTTCGGAATGCATCGTGATTCTCTCTCGAATCGATTCTGAGCTCAGTTTTAACAGCAGATGGCGCTCTAGGCTAGTTTTTAACCGCACACTCAAATGCTCCTGAAGAAGAGCGCTTGTGCGTTCGGCTGAGTCATGTAAGTGGTGAAATGTACTTGCACATCGGCTCTTATGCTTTTATGATGCAAGATTAATGTAAACACCGCCCACTGTGAACATCCTTGTAATTCGCTTCAACCTTTTCGAACTTTGAATGATTATTTAGGTTCAAATGGTGCGTGTGTAAGGAACTGGAAGCAAGCAGAATACGGCTGTTTCTAAAGCAGCAGTGCCATCTGCTGTTAAAAACTAAACTCAGAATCGATTCAAGAGAGAATCGCGATGCCTTCGGAAAATCTCAGAATCATTTCTGTCTGAGCCGCGGACAAGAAGCTGCTGCTGGACACCTGCAGGCAGAAGATGCACTTTAAGAGCTGAATGGCCACAGGGATGTTAGTCAGTGAGCGATGCGACTGTCTGATCTTACGGTCTGATCAGGAGTGGTTCCTATGAAGGCGAACAGCTGTCCCAGCAGCACGCTGTATGTGGGCTTGTCCTTGCTGTCTTCAATGGCCAATGACTGCAGCAGAGTAAAAGAGCTGCTCCGGTGACTGGATGGATGGAGGCGCCTCCTAGACCCACAGACAGACAGGCAATTAGTTAGTATAAAATTGTAGCAACCTTTAGAATTTACCTATTAAAGCAATGGCCAATTAAAAAAAAAATCATAACATTAACACAACATTAAAACTGATGTGTGTAATTGGCAAATGTTCCTAAAGGGTTTATTTAGTAACAAATTATTCAATATTAATTATTAAATAATATAAATAAATACTAATATTTATTATATGAATAAATACATAAATGCATAAATAAAATGCATGCAGAAATAAAAGCATTATTAATGCATAAATAAAGAAACAAATGCAAACATAAAATGCATAAATGAATGCTAGAATTGACCTACTTTAGTAATAAGTAAAAAAAAAAACATTAAAACTGACATGCAATTTAAGCAAAAAAAAAACATTAACATTAAAAAAGACATGCAATTTTTGAGCAATAAATGTCACTAAATCGTTTATAAAAATTATTGATTTATTGAACAGTCCATCAAAGGAGAAAGTATTTTAACATGCATAAATAAAAATATATGCATAATTAAATGCATGAATAAATTCACACATGTATAAATAAATAAATGCATAAATAAAAATATATGCATGAATAAATATATAAATAAGGAAACAAATGCATAAATAAATTACATAAATAAATGCATAAACATTAATTTACCTATTACAGCAATAAGCCAAGTAAAAAAACAAAAGCATTAAACATAGCATTAAAACTGACATCTGCAATTTTTTTAGTCACAAACGTCACTAAATGGTTTATAACACATTATTGATTTACTGAGCACTGCCTCATCTGAACAAACAGAGCCATGTTTTGGAGAAACTGAACTTTGAATGGCTCTGCAAATTAAGCTGTCATAGGAGAAAGTATTTTAACAAAAAAATAAATGTATAAATAAAGAAATGCATAAATAAAAAAATTTATCCATACATTAATAAATAAATACACAAATAAATATAGTAATAAATAAATGCATAAATGTATTAATAAATAAATGCTTTGATAAATGTATAAATAAATGCTAATATGTATAAATAAATAAATGCATAAATACAAAAAAATACATAAATAAATTCCGTTTTAATAATAATAATAATCATAACAAACAGTTCTTAGCTGTTTATGTAATAATGTAGTTTATTATTCTAACTGTCGGCTATTTGCGGTTGTCCAGAACCGTAGATTCTTGCTGCATTAATGTAAAATTCAAGTGATGTGTTCTTATAGGTGTGCATATATTCATTCTTTAACCGTGATTTGGTGCTTCTGCTGAGTCTGAGGTACCTTTGTGCTCCATGTGTGAACTCCACATCACTGTTGGCAATCATTTCCAAATCTGAGGGAGCGGACATACTGCGCAGGAACACAGGCTGCTTCACGATGGGAACCATCGATTTGGTGTCTGACACCGACTTACAGGCTGCAAGCAGGAGAGTTCAAAGCGCCGTTGAGCACATTTGTATGTTTTTGCAGGCGTGTGCATGTGTAAATGCGTGTCACCTGGTGTGCATGCTGGTGTTGTAGACAGACTCTTGCACTGTGGCGCGATGGTAACATGCAGCAGCAGCTCAGAGCGGTTGATCAGGCTCTTCACCAACGCTTTGGTTTTAGCCAGAGGAACGGCGCTTCTCTGCTGCTGCATGGAGTTCACCTCATGGAAGAACTTCTCTCTGTTTGAAACAAAACAAAACACACACAATCACAATGATCTGAAATATTAGTAATTTCATAAGTACACTGCCATTCCAAAGTTTGGGGTCTGTGAGTTTTTTTTTTTTGTTTGTTTGTTTTTGAAAGTCTCTTACTTACTTATTTTTTATTTATTTTTATTTTTTTATATCATTAAGATACTTATTATAGTTTTAATATTTTAATCCGTTTTCATTTTTGTACTTCGTTTTCATTTTAAATGTTATGTATTAAAAGTTTTATAACTTTTTTTTTTTGTGTGTGTTTTGTCATTTTTATTCGTTTTTGGTGTTTTTATATGTCTGTGCAGTTTTCATAATTTTTTTATTTCAGTTTTAGCTTTAGATATTTTAGAACATTGTTAAATAAAATTTAAATGAAAAATGTCACCTTGACAACTAGCTGAAATAAAAACTTTTTAAAATATTTTATTTCACAATTTTATTTCAAGTCACGAAAATGTTTTTATGGTTTTAGTTTTAATTTCAGTTTTAGTTATCTACAAAAACCCTGGTCTCCAAATACAGTAAAAATACAGAAATATTGTGAAATATTATTTCAATTTAAAATAACTAGGGTTGCAAAAAGGTGGAAAATTTTCAGTAAATTTCTCCAAAGTTTGGGGTCTGTGAGTTTTTTGTTTGTTTGTTTTTGAAAGTCTCTTACTTTTTTTTATTTTTTAATATCATTAAGATACTTATTATAGTTTTTATTAATATTTTAATCAGTTTTCATTTTTGTACTTTTTCATTTTAAATGTTATGTATTACAATTTTTATTACATTTTTGTGTGTGTGTGTGTTTTGTCATTTTTATTCGTTTTTGGTGTTTTTATATGTCTGTGCAGTTTTCATACATTTTTTATTTCAGTTTTAGCTTTAGATATTTTAGAACATTGTTAAATTAAATTAAAATGAAAAATGTCGCCTTGACAACTAGCTGAAATAAAAACTTTTCTATATTTTATTTTATTTTATATATTTAATTTAATTTAATTTAATATATATGTATAATTTTATTGTTTTTTTATTTTTGTTATTATTACATTTATTTTATTTCAGGTAATGAAAATGTTTAATTGTTGCCGTTTTAGTTAACTATAATAACCCCGGCACACAACTGCAGCTGTTTCATTAACACATTAAGGTTTCCATGTTTGCAATAAAAGATTGACGACTTGTAAATGTAATTAGTGCATCTAAACGGACCAAAAAAACCTGTCTGTTTATAAAGCATTTAAATGAAAGCAAGTAAACCAAATCAGGTCTATTGATTATCTTTAATTTCTTAATTAAATAAATAAAATAAAATAATAACAAAACATAACATAACATATAACATAACAACATAAAATGGAAAGATAAGAAAAGAAAAGAAATTACTTATTTGAAATAAAAAATGCAAATAATCACTACACAAATAGACATTTAGACTTTACAATAAGGTGCCAATTGCATTGCATTTTTGTTAACTAACATTAACAAAAATGAATAAATCTTGCAAAAAATATTTATGATACATAAATACACACACATATATAAAATGTGAGTTCATGTTAGCTAAAGAATTAACTAATCTTAACAAATGGGACCTTATAGTAAAACGTTGTTGACATTTAAAATAGTTGGTTTTATGTTTAGATTTGTAGTATAAATTGTTATACTTGTTATAATATATATATATATATATAGTTTAATATGACTTTTTTTATTTATTTAACGTAGTATAACAATAATATATATATATATATAGTTTAATATGACTTTTTTTATTTATTTAACAGGTTTCTTTGTCCATCTACAGTTTCAACTTAAATTTTGCAGTTCATCATGTGGAAGCAACCATGTGTACATGAAATATGTACTTTTTTTTATTGTTTAACTATTTTTAAACTTTTTTTTAAAAATATGTCAATGTCTTAGTCAATTTGTAAAGTGTTTTATTTATATTTTTATTTTTACATGAATAAACCGATAACTGCCTCCTTCCTCTAGGTAGTGGGATTTCTACTCCTCCGTACATTTCAGGATGCATTTCTGATTACGGTTAAATGTTCTGCTATCATTAAGTTACATTCCCCTCATATGTAGTCTCCATATCATGTGCTCACTTGATGCTGGGGCGAAACTGAGGCCGGCCTCTCCCAGACAGCTCCCTCAGGCGGCCCATAATGCCCGGGGGTAAGTGGATGCGGGGGAGCTCACAGCAAGCCCCCGGCATGAGGACGTCTGAAGGATAGGTGAACTCTCGCTCCTCATCAATGGTGAGAGGCAGAGGAGACGGAGACGGCGTGAGGGCAGGAGAGATCGCACCATTAGCCTCCACCTGCCACTGACACCTTATACAGAACAGCAACAAAAACATAAGAAACATATATTAAACAGCAAGAAAGAAATACTTTTTAGTGCATTAAATTGATCAAAAGTGACATTAAAGACATTTATAATGCTAAATTTTTTTTTTTATTTTGTTAATATTTTTTTTTCTGAAGAAAAACAAACATAAACAGCGAGGAAAGCCAAAATATTAAATGTCACGGATGTATATTAACTGAGTAATCCACTATTTTGTAGAGGGGGGGGTCAAAATGACAATTTTCACTTGAGATTCAGAGCCAAATTATAGGGGGGTAAAAATGACTTTAGAAAGCAGCATCATTATGTTATTTTCACACAGAGATTGATTTGTTGCATTTATGAGCCAATGGTGAAAGTTCAAAAATGTAACAAAAAAAAAGCACTTTTTGTGTTTTTTTCCCAGGTTTTTTCAGTTTTAGTTATCTACAAAAACCCTGGTCTCCAAATACAGTAAAAATACAGAAATATTGTGAAATATTATTTCAATTTAAAATAACTAGGGTTGCAAAAAGGTGGAAAATTTTCAGTAAATTTCTCCAAAGTTTGGGGTCTGTGAGTTTTTTGTTTGTTTGTTTTTGAAAGTCTCTTACTTTTTTTTATTTTTTAATATCATTAAGATACTTATTATAGTTTTTATTAATATTTTAATCAGTTTTCATTTTTGTACTTTTTCATTTTAAATGTTATGTATTACAATTTTTATTACATTTTTGTGTGTGTGTGTGTTTTGTCATTTTTATTCGTTTTTGGTGTTTTTATATGTCTGTGCAGTTTTCATACATTTTTTATTTCAGTTTTAGCTTTAGATATTTTAGAACATTGTTAAATTAAATTAAAATGAAAAATGTCGCCTTGACAACTAGCTGAAATAAAAACTTTTAAAAATATTTTATTTCACTTAATATCCATTTTATTTCAAGTAACAAAAATGTTTTTTATGGTTTTAGTTTTAATTTCAGTTTTAGTTATCTAGTTTAGTTATCCAAATATATTAAAAATACAGAAATATTATTAAAATTTAAAATAACTAGGGTTGCAAAAAGGTGGAAAATTTCCAGTAAATTTTAGAAAATATTCCAGAAATTTTGGAAACTTTCCAGGATTTTGGGGAATATTCCAGGGATTTTTGGAAAGCTTCCAGAAATTTACTCAAAAATTTTTGCAACCCTAAAAATAACAGTTTTCTATTTGAATATATTTTAAAATGTAATTTATTCCTGGATTCTCTGTTCCCCAAAGTTTGCATGGCTGTAACTCAAGAAGTATTAAAGATATTTTAATGCCCTTTTAGATTTTGCTTCTTAACAAACTTTTCTTTAGTTATCTTCTTTTTTAAGGCTCTATATGGTTCCTATCCAGAGATATGGGGATTTCAATCTGGCCCCATGAGCAAATTGTTAAATTGTACTCATTTTCAGTTCCCCATATTTCTGCAACTGAACCATACAGGGCCTTAAAAACGAATACTCCAAAATAAAAGTTTGTTAAGAACCAGAATCTAAAAGAATATTGAGTTGAGTTGCATGCACATAAACTTAATGCAACTTAACTTAATAATATTCCAGGGATTTTTGGAAAGCTTCCAGAAATTTACTCAAAAATTTTTGCAACCCTAAAAATAACAGTTTTCTATTTGAATATATTTTAAAATGTAATTTATTCCTGGATTCTCTGATAAATAGAAAGTTAGATAGTAAGAAAGAAATATTTTGTAACATTTTAAATGTCTTTACTCTCACATTAAAAATTTGTTTTATAGCAAAAGCAGATAACTCCACATTTCATGTTTTAGAGTTAAAAAAAAACATTCGTTTAATTTTTGTAATCTCCTCAGGTGACGATGTAGATGCCTGACAAACGTTGTTGTTGTTGTGATCATAAAATGTAATTTATTCCTGGATTCTCTGATAAATAGAAAGTTAGATAGTAAGAAAGAAATATTTTGTAACATTTTAAATGTCTTTACTCTCACATTTGATCAATTGCTGAGTAAAACCATTAATTTCTTACTAATCCCAAACTTTTTGAACAGTAGTGTAGGTGTAACCAAATGCTTTGTGATAAATTTAGCTGCACTATAGGAAGCCGTAATGTGTTTCACATCATACCTTAAAGCCATCACAGCGTTTTCTGGATCTGCGCCATCCAGAGGAACCTCCTTCAGTGAACACAGAAGCTCCAGCTCCTTCATTTTGTTCTGTGGGCCACAAGACAAACCAAAAGAATCAATCTTTGATAAACCAATCAAAACACAATAGTGGAAGCAAGTAACGTTAAGAACGCACTAGAAACTCTTGTTGCATGTTGCCTAAGAACAGATGTTATTTTGGAAGTATTATATGCTCTTCTAGCAAGGTGGATTTGTAAAGGTGAATTTTCAGCTAATTATGGCAATTGAACATTAACAAAACACTTAGACATGGAAATACCATAGTATTCTCCCAGGTACCTCGAAGTGCACTTAACTGTACTGAACGTGGACTTGTAGGGTACTTTAAATCTTAGAAGTACATTTTTGAAAGCTGTAATTGCAGATCAAAAAAAAAAAATGAAATAAAAGGCCACTTAAGTTTTTTTTTTTTTTTTTAAGTGCCGTTTATCGATTTTTGCAAATTAACTCTTCATATATATATTAAGCTCTATGTAAAGTGGCCCACATTTGGTTTCCGACCATTTAAAATGTGTAAAATTGAACATTTTGGACATGGAGCCACACTGAGATCCCCATATCTGTGGGATTGAACCATACAGGGCCTTAAAGGGTTAGTTCACCCAAAAATGAAAATTCTGTCATTAATTACTCACCCTCGTGTCATTCGAAACCCTTAAGACATTCGTTCATCTTCGGAACACAATTTAAGATATGTTTGATGAATTCTGAGGGCTCTCTGACCCTCCCATAGACAGCAAGGTAACTACCACGTTCACTTGTAGGGTACTTTAAATCTTAGAAGTACATTTTTGAAAGCTGTAATTGCAGATCAAAAAAAAATAATGAAATAAAAGGCCACTTAAGTGAGAGACTTTCATGATTGTTTCTTAACACACTTAAGTACACTTTTAAAAAGTGTAAATAAAGTTTGACTTTAAAGTACATTTTAAATCATTGTTTTAATAATATTTTGTTTGTTATTTTGATGTGCTGACTAATACTGAAGCATCAAGGTCCAGAAAAGTACCAAGATGATCGACAAAGTAGTCCGTGTGACATCAGTGGTTCAACTGTAAAGTTACGAAGCTACGAGAATGCTTTTTTGCGCAAATAATAAGTATTCTGCGCTGACCCAGATCTGGCGCCGCCACACTGATACTGTGATACTGTCGTGAACGCACGTCCAAAGTGATGCAGAAGAGACGAAAATGTGGAATAAAGTCGTTATTTTTGTTTTCCACTTAAGTGAGAGACTTTCATGATTGTTTCTTAACACACTTAAGTACACTTTTAAAAAGTGTAAATAAAGTTTGACTTTAAAGGACATTTTAAATCATTGTTTTAATAATATTTTGTCACTTATTTTGATGTGCTGACTAATACTGAAGCACATGTAAAGTACTTGATTATCATTTGAACTTTAGCTTCTGATATTACACTTAATGTTAATATGTTTTAAATGCACGAAATTGCAACTTCATTACAAATGTGTGATTTCGAATATATTTAAATAGAAATAGAAATAACATTAAAGCATATTTTAGTCAGCACCATATTTCAAAGACAATAGAATTATGAAATTACATGTAAAAATGAACTTAAGTCAAAAGCACTCTAAAGTTCAGCTAATTGCATTTAATATACATTTCAACTATAATACATTTTCAACATGCAATTAAGTGTCTAAAAACATTACATTCAGTTCACACTTTTAAAGTATATTATTCCATAGTAAGTGCTCTTTTTAAAACTATGCCTAGTGTACTTCTTTTCACAAAGATAACGATCATATGTCTCACATTACTGACCTCAAAGAAGTGATAGTCGTGGAAGAAGGGAGAGTTGTTCTCCAGTTTGCCCTGCTGAGCTTCTTCTGCTTCATTCTGCCACTTCTGCTCCAGTTCAGCTACACTCTGAAACAAACACAGACACCGGATATAATAACAGCATCATACAGCATGCATATGAGATAATAACAGCATCACACAGCATGCATGTGAGATAATAACAGCATCACACAGCATGCATGTGAGATAATAACAGCATCACACAGCATGCATGTGAGATAATAACAGCATCACACAGCATGCATGTGAGATAATAACAGCATCACACAGCATGCATATGAGGAGCGCTGCATCTGTGGCTGCTGTAACACTCACCTGTAACTGTCTCTCCATTGCATTGATCTTCTTGAAGGTCTCGGCCATGATTTTGCAGAGCAGGTTGTGCTCCTCTCTGTGCATCTCTCTGTACTGGAAGTTCACCAGCGACTGCAGCGCATCCACCAGACCCAGGTGCTTTACGACACACGACACGATCACTTCCTCCATCACATCAGGACGCATCACCTCTCTGAGAGACAATTAAGAAGGTATTATTCATGTTTCTCGTTTTTCAATTTATTTGTGTAACACTTGTCACAATACATATTTCATAGCAGTATAAGATTACTGAATATAATTATTCTATGTCTCTGAAGTAATAATTGAGAATTTTGTGGTTTGCCTTAAAGGAGGTTAGAATAGAATAGAATAGAATTTACTTCTTTGAAAGCAAAAATGCAAATAAATCGCTACACAAATAGACATTAGTTAGACTTTAGACTTTACAATAAGGTTCCATTTGTTAACTAACATGAACAAACAAGAAAACAACTGTATTTTTTATTAATGATTAATTTATGAATTTTGTTTATGATATATAAATACATTCACACACACAGACAGACATACTGTGTGTGTGTGTGTGAGAGAGAGTATATATATATATATATATATATTAGTGCCCTCCAAATCTCAAGGGAAAATTGCAAACCTACTTTCCCTATAGGGACAAAAAAAGTGTCTAAATGACCAGAAATCCTGTAAAAGCAGCTAATATGGGACGCTTGCATTCGCTGGATTTTCCCGCACATTCACAAGCACTACAGAACTGAAGAGCAGCTGATGCTACAGTGTTTATGTGCGGCAGGTGAAGCAGCACACCTCTGCAGTAGTTTGGAGCAGAGCAGGTCGTGGCAGGCCTCCTCCTCTCGTGTGATATCGGGGCCGTTATAGAGGATGCGTAACATGGCGCAGGCCAGCACAGATAAACCCAGAGCTAGATCAGCCAGGAAGGGCAGGCCACCCGACACATCCTCAGACGACTCCTGAAACAATCAGTGCAAACAAGCAAGGTTATTAAAGTTGATTTAACACGTTAATTTGGTGAGAATAATTATGAGGAAAATAACACATGATTTAACACACATCTTACATTGATGCGGTTGCTGATGAACATGATGCAGGACGACTAACTGTGTGACGCAGCCTATCACAATGCAGTTATATGCCCTCAAATTCAAGATATGAGCGCAAAATATATGTGACCCTGGAGCACAAAAGCAGTCTTAAGTCGCTGGGGTATATTTGTAGCAATAGCCAAAAATACATTGCATGGGTCAAAATTATTGATTTTTCTTTTATGCCAAAAATCATTAGGATATTAAGTAAAGATCATGTTCCATAAAGATATTTTGTGAATAATTGGTATAATGGAATAATATTGGTAAAATATATTGGTCGCCGTTAGTTCGTGTTAGCTAAAGCATTAACAAATGGGACTTTATTGTAAAATCTGGCAGATGTATTTAAACTTTTTGAATAACAATAAAATTATATATACTTTTGACTTTTTTACACTTTTCTTTGATCCATCTACCAAATCAGCTAAAGCATGTAATTTTGCAGCTGACCATATGTTAGCAACCAATTAAGTATTTTAAACTACACTTTATAAACAAAGTAAATAATTTAAATACGTCCATGTATTAGTCAGTTTAATTTATACTTTTGGATTGATAAACTATAATTTATTCCATCACTTTTGTGATTGGCAAGTCCTTAATAAAGCAATAAGTGCCTAAAACCCCCTTAGCAGTTATAAATTCACTGTAAACCACGGCTTCGCAGGGATTATTGCTTTTATAAAACGGTTATTCCATATACGTAGTTAGGTTTCACAAAATAAAACAGAGCAAATAAAGTGTAATGATATTAATAAAAACAGTATTCTTCCACCAAACAATGTAGTTCCTCAGAATCAGTTGTGGTTCCAACAAAGTGGTTGCCGAGCAACAGATAAACGTAAACAAAGGTGTATGTTTGTAGAGTAATTTACAACAGCTTCGAACATGGCTCAGCCAATCAGAATCAAGGACCGGAACTCTCAGTTTTATTATACATTCCAAGAGGCTTTTGTTTAAATGAAAATTAAATAATTAGCACAATCTCAATAGTTTTCCTATACATTAAAGTTTTAATACAGTTTTATAGTTTTTTCGTATAGTTTTAGTATATAATAATAATCCTGCAACCACGATGTTTGTTGGAAAACACATTTGTTGAACGAAGTAAATTAACTTCTAATAGGCGTTTAATTTTTTCACTGTAAATGTTATGATTGGGATGCATTTAAAAGCTCGGTACCTGTGCTCGGACAGTGCATGAGAAACCCCACATGGCTTTATCTGGGGTGTTGTGCTCGCGTCCGCTTCTCATCTCAAAAGAGAACGTAACAGTATCTCCTTCCACCTGAAAATACAACAGATTAGAAGCAGTGATATTTAATATCTTAATATCTGTAGATCGTCTGAACGAATCAGAATGTGCTTTATTCATCATGATTTCCAGAAGCACTGGTTAGTTACATACACACATACTTAATTCTTCCTCTCTATTCTCTGGTGTATAAATAGAATTAAATAAAAACAAAGCAATATACATCTAGAAAAATTAAACGAGTAGAATTAAGGCAGAAAAACTTACAGTATTATATATGTGACCCTGGACCACAAAACCAGTCTTAAGGGTCAATTTTTTTCGAAATTGAGATTTATGCATCATCTGAAAGCTGAATAAGTAAGCTTTCCATTGATGTATGGTTTGTTATGATAGGACAATATTTGGCCGAGATACAACTATTTGAAAATCTGGAATCTGAGGGTGCAAAAAAATCTAAATATTGAGAAAATCGCCTTTAAAGTTGTCCAAATGAAGTTCTTAGCAATGCATATTACTAATCAAAAATTAAGTTTTGATATATTTACAGTAGGACATTTACGAAATATCTTCATGGAACATGATCTTTACTTAATATCCTAATGATTTTTGGCATAAAAGAAAAATCTATAATTTTGACCCATACAATGTATTTTTGGCTATTGCTACAAATATACCCCAGCGACTTAACACTGCTTTTGTGCTCCAGGGTCACAAATCAAGATTAAGGAGTAAGCAGAAGGCTTAAGTATATTGTATACACATAATATACTACATAAAAACTATTCATTTTTAGAATTTAAATTAATTTTATTGCCTAACGTCCAGAAACCCCGTAAGGATACTGAGCTATTTAGAAAAACGTTGAACGTGCACTCTTTGACACATTTTAAGCATCCCATTATTTTTTGAAGGCTTTTAACAAACACAAATGTTTAACAAATATGTATGTTGTATTGCGTTTACATTCAAGCATTTCTATTAATATAAACCATAATCAACAAAAGTTTAATTTTTTATTTCTTTAAAAATAAAAGTCATATCTGACGTTACTATATCAAAATCAGTAAAGGCATTTTAGTAAACAGTGTGTTAATGATATTAAATAACACTCCACTATTTTTGAAAATAGGCTCATTTTCCAACTAGAGTTAAACAGTTGAGTTTTACCGTTTTCTAATCCATTCAGCCGATCTCCGGGTCTGGCGTAGCACTTTCGATTTCTTAGTACACTATGTAACTACAGAAGAGTCAAGTTTTAAATAGGAAAAATATAGAAACTCTTTGGTCATTTTTGAGCGAGATGCTAACGGTCTAATCAGATTCAATGATCTATGCTAAGCTACAGCTAAAAGTGCTACCGCCAGACCCGGAGATCGGCTGAATGGATTAGAAAACGGTAAAACTCAACTGTTTAACTCTAGGGGAGTTGGAAAATGAGCCTATTTTCAAAAATAGTGGAGTGTTCCTTTAAGCATTGGACTTCATTAAGAGCCCAGCAGGCTTTTCCTGAAAGCATTGTATCAGATATCCTCACCTTGACCAGATCTTTGGGCCATCCAGTTCCCAAGACACTGCGGCTACCGTAACCCATGGTGTTTCCTCCATACTCGCTCACTTTACGACTATTCGTGTTTGGCCCGGCGTAAACCACCAGCTGAATGACAAGAGAATTGTGAGTGTGAATATTCAACGTGACACTTTCATTCCACTGTGAATGAGAACAGCAGAAACGTGAAACCTTGTCATAGTCGTATTGTGAGGAGCAGCGAGGGTCGAAGCGGAGGTAGAGACACCGAGCTCCAGGGATGTGCACTGTTTCTTTAAACTTGTAGTTATCTCGCACCGGATGAGCGGTTTCCACTGTTTTCCCAGCAGCCCATGGGGCAGGGATCTTCAGACCGGTCAGAAAGCCCGGCTCCTCTCTCTCTTCCAGAATCTGGAAACTGAAATTTCATTTTTTGGTTTGAATAATCTAGATGCTTTTGTCCAACATGTTTCTTTTGACATAATAAAAAACTACAAAACTGAAAAAGTTTATAAATAATGCACCTGTCATTTAACGAGGGTGGATTGAAGCTTTGATTTAGCGGCGAATCCTCAACAAATAATGGTGAATGTGTCTTTAGCAGCAAAGCAGTCTGTTGGATAGACAGAGACACAGAGCAGTCAATACAACAATGTCAACGGGTCATGATTTATTATTTTAACTTGGAAAATCCAAGGTTTTTTGTATAATATTTTAATTTAAAAAATCTACCGAGTCAGTAAGATTTTTTATTATTATAATTTTTTTTTTTAAAACATACTTTTATTCAATAAGCATGCATTAAATTGCTCAAAAGTGACAGTAAAGACATTTATAATGTTACAAAAAATTTAAATAAATGCTGTTCTTTTGATGCTATTCATCAAAGAATCCTGAAAAATAAAATGTATCAGTTTCCACAAAAATATTCAGCAGCACAACACTGAAAATAATCAGAAATTATGTTGAAAATTCAGCTTTGCATCACAGAAATAAATTACATTTTACAATATATTCACATAGAAATCAGCTATTTTAAATTGTAATAATATTTTTGCAATATTACTGATTTTACTGCATTTTTTATCAAATAAATGCTGCCTTGGTGGTGGTGTACAATACTGACATGGTGCAACTGTGTGCTTCGATTAGGTAATATAATGAATATATACATACGGTATTTGGAAGCAAATACATAATGTAGGTGTTATGCATGTCAAACACTTTCCAAATGATGACAGATTATTGCAATACATATGCTATAGCTATACCTTCTATCCAACAATCACTAAATATTTGCACCTCCATTATAATATGATGGTATGATATAAGATATGATATATGATATATTATATGATATATGATATGAGATATATGATATGATATGATATGATATGATATTGGCTGACCTGTGCTGACCAGCTGGCCTCCATCTTTTCACAGATCTTCAACAGATCAGCTCTTTCTGATTCTGATTGTGATACACACCTGACTAGTATACAGGACCAGTTGGACTAGCTGTGGCATGAGAGCGTCAGCTAGCGTGAGGGTTTGTAGGTTCGGGTGCATCAGTGACGTCAAGAGGACCGGCAGCAAGTGACCCAACATCGTGGCCTTCGTTACCTGTTCAAGTCCTCTCAGTCTTGATATTAAAATAAAATAAAAAACAGAGAAAATTATAAATAAAAGAAAGTGCTTAAGTACATGCACAAAATACAAATAAAGCATCATCGAAGAAGTGTTGCTGATATCTGAATGCACCTGGCCTCTCGATCGCTGATGCTGCTGTTGATGAGGGAGCTGGTAACTTGCTGAAGCGTCTCCAGAACCTCGTCACATCCAACCAGGATCTTAGAGGCTAGTGACAGGATACTAGTCTGCAGCTCCTGACGGGAACACGTTCAGTTAACACACACATTTCTCAGAGAACATCTAAAGCTGATACAGAAATCGTGTGAACTATTAAATACACTCTAGCATACTTTTAAAAAAGAGCACTTAGTAAAGAAACAATATGTTGACCCTGGACCACAAAACCAGTCATAAGGGTCAATTCTTCCGAAATTGAGATTTATGCATCATCTGAAAACTGAATAAATAATAAATAATCCATTGATGTATGGTTTGTTAGGATAGGACAATATTTGGCCGAGATACAACTATTTGAAAATCTGGAATCTGAGGGTGCAAAAAAATCTAAATATTGAGAAAATCATCTTTAAAGTTGTTCAAATGAAGTAAGT